ATTACGGTTTAGGGCCTGTTTAGACGGCCGTGGGGGACCCCAGGTATGTGAGGTAACCCGCTTAAGTGGGGTAACCCGCCTGTCTATATAATCTCTCATATTGGCACCCAACCTATTAAAATTAGCCTGTTCCAGGCTCCGAGATGTTGGTGGAAAGTCGTTCAGTAATAAGAAATGCGAAAAACGTGCGGGTGCTCTCCCATTTTTCACGTCCCCACCGCCCCCTTTCCCAAGTCGTGCGCGTCTTATTTTGGCTTTGCTCGTTTTAATATGTTCCCACTATACTATCTGAGATCCTGGCACAGGCTATGTTAAAATAAGAGATAATGTACACAGCTATTTCGAGAAAGGTTGTCGTGAAAATGTGCACGGGACAATCCCAAAAGGTGATAATGGGATATAATCAATACACTGTCCCTGACGACTGCAGCTGTCGAACCTACTTTTGTTGCTTTCCTTTAGCACTCGCAAACATACGTCCATTGCCTCTCGTTCCATTCTTTCAAATTTCTTTGGAGAACGGCCACAGTACCTTTCGGCATTTTCGCGTGCACTTTTTCCGACAACCTTTCTCGAAAGAGTTGTATGAATACTCACAAGTAAGAAAGTGGAACGCCGTCAAATACGTCCAGCGGTAACTGATACAAGTCTCTGTTGTTACCAAGGTAACTAAAGAGGGAAAAAAAAGGGAAATCGCAAAAGATGTCTTCAAGAATACATCACAATGTTTTTGTTTAGGGATTTTTAGGGGAGGGGAGGGGGGGGGCTGTACAAAGGATAGGGGACATTTTTGCTTGAGATGTAACAGTACCGTCTCAAACGCTGGCCATGATCTCCTTGTAGAAAGTTGTTCTGAAAAGTGAACTCAAAAACTTAAGTTGATCAGGCACGACTTTATGGCTCTTAAATAAATATTGTTGGCGAATTGATGTTTCAATCTTCGCCCCATTAGTTCACATCATTACCGCGCATGCATTTATTTCGTGGAGGAGGAGTTCTCTAAAAAGCCTTCTTGTGCTACTTAACGTGTTCCTTTATTACAGCCCTAAGGTCAAACGTATACAACTCACAGAAATTGCAAAGATTCCATTCCATCGAAAGCTCCTGGTGCGATTGAATTCAGCTCCATATTACTCAAATTCCTGTTGACAACAATATAATTCAAATTTTACTTTATTATATTCTTTGGGCAAAAAATTCTTAGAACATATCTGGCGTATTTTATTTCACGAGTATAGGGGTTTTTCAGTGGTTTTAATGTTAGTAGAGTTTATAAGATTAATTAACACCTTTTTATTTCTTTTTGCTCGTGTAACTTGTTAAAAAAAGTTCAAGTTATTCATGTTAAAAAATAGCATGCTACTTTTTATCTGAAAGAGATAGCCAAGGAAACACGTGACATATAAGCTTGTGGGGATAACAACTAAGGAATTGTGAAAAAAGTGATGCTCTCTCCACTGTCATAGCGAATATTGCTGCCTCCTTCTTCCTTCCAATTCCCTAGCAAAAAAGCAACCGTTTTGGAAAATGGATAGCTTGTCGTCTACTTACAGCGTTCGCAGCTGTTGTAATCCGTTGAATGCATCTCTTTCGATCTTTTCAATCGGGTTTCCAAATAGATCACTAAGAAAAAGACGAACAAAAGCCAAGCGATAAAAATGCCCTGTCTATTCGGTCCTCCTTGGTAGAATGATGGAATTAAATGATAACGTAAAAAGATAACTGTACAGACGATAGCTGTGAATGTTAACTTACAGTTCAGTAACTGACTGTAATCCTTGAAATGTTCCTGTCCTCAATACTCGTAACTTGTTTCGCCTTAGTATCCTTAGAAGAAAATCGCAATAAAACAACACGAAAGTATGTTTAAGAAATAGAAAATTGTTTTGCATATTATATATAAGAAAATAACGCACTCTTGAGGACGATGAAAACTTTGGTTTACTTTGCTTGAAAATTAAGCAAGCAATTAGCATTTTTCTATTGTCTTGACATGATTTTGACATTTTTGTCCTCACAATTTCCAATTTGACGATTCCAAAATGGCGGCCATTGAAAAAAATAGTTAGTTTCACGTCACATTACGTTTTTGCGTGGCACGAACTGTAACCTTGTTCCCAGAGTCTTTCTCTCATCACCTTAACAGCACCGAGCTTTAGAGCCTTATTACATGACGTCAAGTCCGCCAAATCGGCGTCCCAAAATACTGAAACGGCGACCATGTTGTTGTCCCAAACCAGTCCTGTGGGAGCTGAACTCTTTTCTTTAGGTAAACGTTTTCTTTGGTCGCAATAAATTTGAATACAGTAAACACCCACATATAAGAACAAATGGATTAAGAACACCAGGCTGAAATTTGGCCAATAAAACCCCATTTTTATAAGAACAAGATCAGCCAGAAAATTGTAACATGTTCTTATAAAATGGAAAAAGTGTTATAATTACAAAACATATAAGTTTATGTTTGTTGTCAAATAATTTCATTTGTTAATATAATCAAATCGTTACAGTTAATTATTTATTTTATTTTCCTAAAATATGCTAAATATACCTCTAGCAACATGTTTTGTATAGTATTACTAAATAAAAATTTAAGAACATTTTAAGAACATTTTGAGGCTGATTTGTCATTAAGCACCCGATAAATAAGAACTCAATCAGCCTGACCTGCGAAATCGTGTGTTCTTATATGCGGGTGTTTACTGTAGCTTCTGGCCACGTGAGTGGAAACTCTCTATAATTTCTTGAAGTCGACACTGAGCTCATTATTCATGGTTACGACAGCTGGTCATTCATACTTACAAGGTCTTCAATCGCCTGAGACCTTTGAAGGAATAGGGTTCTATGCTTTGGATCTGATTTCCTTCCAAGTTACTGAAGAAAAATACCATATATGTACAGTTAAACCCCAAACTACAGATACGCAACTTTGTTTCAGGTTGGGGCTGATAAATTGATCGTACTTCTATATTGACTTCGAGCTGCCATTTGTGGCGGTTATCTTGGCACCTATTCTGAATGACGTCACAGGTCTCTGTTGAGTTCACAATAGAAAATTGCGCCAACTTTTCAAACTCATTAATAACGTGACGTGGTTGGACCCATTTTTGTCCTTTTCTCCTTTAAAAGCATTGTAGAAGTTACATCATGCACTTAACACATCAAATATAAACGAACTTCGTCAAAAATACCCCGGTGTGGGTCATATTTTAAACTTTCATGTCGGTGTTTGATATGTGATAAAACACTTCGTCTCAAGTTTGAATTAAGGAATTTTCTTTTTTTAAAATCGAAGACTATATTTTCACTTGTTTTGCCACTTACATTTTTTCCAGATACTTGTATCTTGCAAAGCTGTACCTTTCAATATCTCTTATTTTTCTTTCTGGTACAAGTCTGTGATACAAGAAGCATGCAGAAAAAGCAACAGATAAATTTGTAGTGTCATGAGGATTCTCCTAAATTTTTTGATGTCAATAACGCTAGAATTATAAGAACTGACAAATAGCCTTTGATCTTGATGAAAAAGATAAAGACGTCAATTTATTCTTCGAAGCTGTGAGGAAACCATATCTGACTGATTTTTCCCAAATAACACTTTCAAGCTTTTGAAAACGAATTGCGATTGTTAACGTATGGGACTTTTAGCCCGCTTCTTTAATTCCTACTTGTTCTCAGTTAGACACTTCTAGAAAAATTTGGATCATTATACGTTTCTCGGAAACTGCCCACATACCCCTCCCCATCCCCTACCCCTCACACTTACTTCTCACCTAGGGAAAACTGTTGGGTAAGGGGAGGGATAGGTGGGCAGTTTCCCAGAAAAGTATAACTCCAAAATTGTAAGAGTGCTTTTTTGCACAGCGTTAATTTTTGTCGCGCGGACAGAGCCAAACTAAAGAAAAGGTAACGAACTGGCAGGAAGTGAATCGAAAGGACGAGTTTGTTTCAATCCTTTCACATATTTTAAATAAAAGTCGAAACAATCCAATATCAGATTCAATTTTGACATGATGGGGTTGTTGCTTTGCTCAGATTTGATTTCTTCAGGCATTTTCTAGTATGAAGGAAGTGGTTAGCTTCCATTAGAAACTGTAGAGGGAGTGAAATGCAAAAAGATTGGTTTTATCAACCGAGTTTATAAAGAAGAGGCCACCGTGGGAGGAATTGAGAAGCTGACGTTTCGAGCACTAACCATTCGCTCTGACAATGGGCTTGTGCTCCAGACGTCAATCCCCCTACGGTGCTGCTAGTCTGACTATGGGGTAACTTACAAGCTGATTATCTTCCCAATCTGCTTACGGTGTGCTAGTATGACAACAGGGTAACTTAGAAGCTCGTTATCTTCCCAACCTCTCTACCGTGTGCTAGCATCACTTCTCTCCAATCCCCCTACGGTATGAAAGTATAACCTTGGGTAATTTACAAGTTCGTTATCTTCCCAATCCTCCCACGGTGTTCTAGTATTACTTCTCTATCTTCCCAGTCCCCCCCCCCCTTCCTCCCACCCCCGCACGGTGTTCTACTATGACTATAGGGTAACTTACAAGGTCGTTATCTTGACAGGAAGATAGGTTGGTATCCTTGTGAGGTCGTTCCTCTTACAGTTCGCCAAGAACTTGACCTTGGAGGGTGTTTTTCCTCCAAGGAACGCTTCCCAACCGCCTTTAACACAGTGACTGGTCCAGTGACATGCTGGGAAAATGCCAAAAAATAATAATAATGTAATAAAAAATAATGTAATAATTTAATACCACGTATAGAAGATTTAGAACGCTTAGCTTATTACATTCGTGCTGAATGTAAAGGGATACAACTTTGAGTTGCGTGACGTGGAATTCTTAAGATTTGATCGTTTTAACACTTTTAGCGTCGTCATCCCAGCGATGTTTAAATTAAAATAATCGCGGATACAACATTGCAGGCGTAATACAGAATTATGACGTCACATAACGTCGTCAAGACTATTAAACTACCTATCAAACTTTACACTGCCATGTATTTGATTTTTAAGGAATGCTAGAAACTAGAGATGCAGGGAGATGGGCTCACCTTCCTCATTTTCATCAAATTTGTAAGGACAACCGTCACCTTCTGCAAAAAGTGTAAAATGAAAGGTTCATTAATAATTTGACCCAAAAAAACATTTGGTCGAAATGTAATATGTCAGTTCATTTCATGATTCAGTAATTAGCAATTCTATTAATGGGCATTGTTTGCTGTTCATATAGGTACAAGTTTGAGCAGCATGATATTGTTATGATTATTACTGAGGGAACTAGAGCAAATGCGTTTTTGAGCCACATAACTCAACCGGAAGTTAGACCTTTTCCCTTAAAATATTTAATTATAAAAAACAATTTTAAAAAAACGCAACTAAATAGTACAGACGAAACTCTGTTAACCTGCCACACCCTCGTGGAAGACACAAATGGTTACTTAGTAGAGGTCGGCTGCTCATGCGTACGGTACCGGCCAAACTGCGGTGTGTGTTATGTGATTGTTGCTGTCAGATGTTTTAAATAATTACATATTCGCCACTTAAGAAAAGAGAGGGAATCTCGGTTGAGTTGGCTTTGGCAAGACGTCTGGGTTCGTCACTGGGGACGTGTCGGTCAGCTATTGGCCAATTTTTTCTCTGTCCCCAGTCCTATTCAGGACAACGTTCACCCGGACGATCATGCTCAATTTACTTAGTCCCAGAAGTCTTTGTAAAAGTTAATTAACTTGGGCCTTGAGTTAAAGTAGCGAATGGTGGATTGACTTATAGCGAAACATAAATAGAGAAAACCCATATAGCTTTATCATACCATCACTTTTATCTCCACAGTCATCTTTACCATCGCATCGGTAATAATCAGGGACGCACATTTGGTTGGAACACTTAAACCAAGTGCTGAAATTACACGGCTTATCGGAACCTGCAAAAGAGGATAAGGGGAAAGAAAGCTGCCACATAGAGCTATAATCAGGGACAAAAGTAGTTTACACACTTGTTTAAAACGGGTGCTTTTATCAAACGTTTAATTCATTTATTATTTCATTCCTTTTAAACACCGTAAATCCCCTCACCACCCGAATCAATGTTGTCTAAAGTAACAGAAAGACTTGAGGGTCCAAAATACATCATTGACTTTGGGGGGAAGGAGTCGGGGTAGACAGGGGAAGGGGATAGGTATGTCCACTATGCAGAAAGGGGCCATTTTACGGAAGTGTCTCAACACTTTTGTCCCTCATTGTAGATTATCGAAATCATCATCATTATCATCATCATCAACACCTCAACCATTACCACCTCCACCAACATTATCATCATCATCATCATAATCATCATCGTCATCATCATCATTGTCATCATCATCATCATCATCATATTCATAATCGTCATCATCAGTCCTTTCCGTCCCCATTGATGTATAGGTCACGTGAGGACGTGTACAGCTTTAGAGACATTTTAAACTTACCCCAATTCTCTCAAAAAAAAAAAGACAAAAGAAAAAGACCTTACCGGCATTCTGGTCCAACAAACAAAAACCGGAAATGAGATTATGGCCTGGGTGGACAATTTCTTGAAATCATATTGTATTTTGTCAACCCAAGCCTCGAATTTTTGCATTTTCTCACTGGAATACCCGAAAGATATATTCACACTTAAATAATTTATATAGTGAAAATGCAGACTTGCGTCATATTTTTAAAAAATTGTTTTCCTTAAGTTTTTTAAGTATTTACATTTTCTTGCCGAATAAAATGACGTTACAAATATTTTACTAATTTGGGATACCCGCCGACCGGCCTTTTTGCAAGTTCGTATGCATTTAAAAGATGTAACGTTTTCCTGCCATAGTGTCACTGAAGATATGGGTTAGCTGGTGAATCAGGCCTATAGTGAGGATATGGTCTGTTATTGATCAGCGATTTGATGAATTAATACTTACTGTAAATAGCTGGGCGACGGCAGTAGTAGTGTTTCTAATTAATAGTTAGTGTGAGAGAGTATTACGGCTCAAAAAGTAGTTAAACATGGTGTGGTATACAGGTTCTATAATCCTAGCCGCACACACCCATCCAAAAATTATGGCTACTCTTAAAGGATCTGGGGTGAGTTGTTCAGAGGCCGATTAGCACAAATCCAGGATCAATTGCTATGGTAACTCATATACTCAGGGTTAGAACTAATTGGTCTTTGAATACTGAACTCCGTACGGGTGATGATTACCTTTAAGATCAGTTCCATTTCCCCCGCAGCGGTCTTCGTAGTTACACTGTCGGTTGAGCACAATACCCACTGTCTTGCGGAAAGGAACTTCCACGGTGTGAAACACCGTGCATCGATCTGGATTCACCATTGGAGCTGCAAATCACACACAACGCAATTATTTTGCTGTTAATTCTAAAAAGAATAGTTGAGGTCGATTTTTGTCGTTGTGTTAGCGCTTTGAACCATCACATGCGGAGAATAACTTTGTGATGCTGAAAGTTTTAGGCAAGCCTTCATATTTGATACCCTTTTATAAGTACAAGCAATGATAAGCACAGTCCATGATACGACTTGTTAGTTTTTAAATTAAGATTCATTTTGACCGAGTTGTTAAGGTTTTGTTTCAGAGCCTCATCACTAGAACTCAGTTGAAGTTATCGCAAATCACAGGGGCGGATTCAGACCTTCCAATATTCCGATAAGGTGTTGGGGGAGGCGGTCATCCGGGGCCCGGTCTTAAAAAAACTTTTTTCGACCCTTCGGGCCTCAGTTTGGTCCAAATATAAGGAGGGGCGGACCCCGCCCTGGATCCACCACTGAATCAATTCACTCAAGTTTGCTTTCTTAACAAACTTATTTACGCCTTACTTCAGTCATGGTTTCAGCATCTTGAAAAATTAGCCTAAATTTTCGGCTTGTAATCAATGTCAATCTGCTCCTTCCTTAAAAACATCTTTGCTCCTTTATAGTTACCTCGTTGGCTTGTCAGTTCTATTTTATCCTATTCAGTTACTGAACAATACCACACAACAACACAAAAGCGAACCAACAATGGTCTCCGCAACACTTGGAGACACCTGGGAAAATTGAAGAATGGGAATTTAAAAAGCAGGGAATTGGAAATGAAGTTACTGATAGGGCTAGGGTTCAAGTTAGGTTTTGTTCCCATTTTTCATTTTCCCGCTTTCCCATTTTCGTTCCCTGCTCCCTGTTCCGCGTTTTAGTTATATCCTTGGGCAAGGGAAATAAAAGTACTACTGGACTTACGACAATTTATCTCGTCTGATTGGTCAGCGCACTCCGCGTGTCCGTCACAGCGGAGCTTGTTGTCGATGCATTGTTTCCACCAGTGATGATTTTTGCATTCAAACTTGTCAGCACCACATGGTACTAGATAATGACAAAAATAAAATTCTCATTAAAAAAGCCCTGTTGCTGTTCAAAGTTGAACAAAGATTACTGCGACAGGATTAGCTCATTCGTTAGAGGGCTCGAGTGCTTAGAAGCAGGTCGAGAGTTCAATTCCCGGGGCCGGACCAATACTCAGGATCTTGAAAGTTCTAAGAAACGAAGGTACTGCCTTTGCCCGGGAAATGGCGTGGTTCGGATGAACACGTAACATATAGCGGTCCTAAAATTAGTTATGATTCTGTGAGTCATTACGCACATCTTTCATTAAATTGATGAGGAAAAATTGGTCTGGTGAAGGGTAAGCCACACTGGCTACTTTTCGTTCTTTCAGATACAACCCCTACTAGACTCCTAACCGAGACATGTTGACATTTTTCATTTTCGTGAAGTTAGAATACTTTGCCTTTTTTTACACCAAAAAAAGCCTAATAAGCATAAGAATTACAAACCGTTCTCTGTGACACAGAAGCCTCTTTTCCCGTCCCTGTCGTAATTAGGCGTAACGGAACACCACGGGGCTCCCAAATGAGTGGAATCACTTTGAGAACATTCATTGTAAATTCTTCCTTTGTAGGTGAATGGAAAAACACAGCACTCTCCGCCGCCATTGCCACCATAGGACCGAACATTGCAGCCTCCTGAAGCAAGTTAAGGTAGAGGAATGTGTATTTTTACTTTGATCATTTCCGCCTTTACAAGTCTTTGTTCAATAGTTACCAAACCTTGATCGTTGTTTCTAAACTTTATGTGGCCTTTTTTATTTTATTCCTCTTTTATTTTTTGCGGCAGAAAAAAATTAATGACAGGGTCTAATCCTATCGCGATATGCTCGGTGATGAGTCGTCTTGGGTTTTGAAGTGGTACCTAAAGGTTGTCACGGCAAAATTCTCACAAATGGGTCTTTAAAGAGGGGGCACGTACTGCAATGAACTGTGGGAACTCTGTTGTTGGCCTCTTACGCGGTGGTGGTTTCCCAAATATAGAGTGAGAAACAAGGTCCGGTAGCATTATTTGAGAGTCGCTTTTTGCAACCTTAACTGTTCCCCGTTCCGAAGGGCTTTCTCGCGCCTTTTTTTTTTATTCTTGTACTCGTGAATTTGCCTTCGACCCAGTTATCCGTGTTATCGTTGAAGAACATCCCCCGGGACTGTAAAGGTGGAAATTCAGTTAAAGGCTTCGGTACACTGGGCATTTTTTCTTGCAATTTGTCTCGCAATTTGTTGCGACACGAGTTAAAAAAAAAATTGTCTGTTGCATCACAAATTCAAAATAAAGCCCAATTCACACCGAAGCTTAAACATACTTAAAAGCTGTTTAGTTAAAAACGCTTTGAATTTTCCTTCCTTCATAAAAGCTGCTGTGTGAAACCCTGTGTTCCAGTTTTTCATGACTGTTTTTCATTAAAACCTGGTTTAGTTTAGTTTAGTTAGTGTGAATGGGGCATAAGATCTACCTAAGTAGGGTTTTATGAGCCCGCAAGACTGAGCAACACCCACTCACCCTTGTTTGCACTAAAACCGCTGGACACAAAGCTTCCCCTGGGTGGATGTTACATTGTCACAACCGAAATAAACATGTCGCCCGACGTCGTTATCGTGATTGTCGAAAAGCTGGCTCGTCTCGTGCAACTTCAGTTGTCTCGACAACAGCGCAACAAAATTGCGTAGAAAATTACAGGAAAGTTTGCCAAGTTCAACGCCGGGCCTTAAAATTCCCTTTGATAATCAACCACTAAGAATACCAATAAGCAAACATTTATTTGTTAACACTCACCTGAATCGTAATAAGCTCGAAAACCTCTGAATTCATCTCCACGAAACGATTTGAATACCACTACCATGTTATTTCCACTGGATTGTACCCCCATGGGGATTTCACGTCCACAGAATTTCCCTAGGGAGGGGCTGGTAGTGTTGAGTCCATCAAATACCCGTACGTACGCATGCTCGCAGGTGCTACTGTTGTGTAACTCAAAGTCTGTGAAATTTAACGTGATTTGATTGACCGAGGCAACGGTGATTTTCCAGGTACACGTGACGTTGCGTTCATAGTTGCGAGGAAAGTTGGAAGAAGAAATTACTCCTGCTTCTTGTGTACGTGTGCCGCCACAACTATTACCTGCAAGGAATAGAGTTTAATAGACTTATTTTACAATTACTTGTTTGGATCTTCTCGATAATCCGAACCGTTCCCACAATATTGATACAAACGAGACGATCATATGGAAATACCGTCACGATCGGGTAGATATATAGAAATCCATCCGGATGATTTGGGCGATCGTGCGATCGTGAAAGATCATTAAAAGCGATTTTATCAAAACTGAACCGTCAGTCAGTCTATCCCAGTATGGACGCAGCCGCGTTAACAGGCGATCAAGGCGATTATATGGAAACCGGCGAAAAGAACTACCTCGAGATGCAAAAGAAAAAAAGGACATACTAATTTTTTGTAGATTCAGTTGCTAAAATTTTTCAATTATAGGTGCTATATATTATTGTTTTTAAGCCGAAAAATGTATAAAGTTGCAGTGAAATACTTGAAGGTGGCTCTCAACTTACTGTTTCTTAGGCAGCGATACTTGGTACTTCTGTCCTTTTCTGGCGTTTCAGGGAAACACCAGGGTGACGACCATTGTTCCTTCCAGTCTTTGTCAGGGACATCCGCTGTGCAAGCCGTATAAGTTCGGCTGTTGTACACAAACGGAAGCCTACAGCACTTTTGTTTTTCCGTCACAAAAGGACACGACTCTGGAGATTGAAAAAGAATTATCCTTGTATAAATCAAAAGCCTAACGAAATTTCATCCATGTATTGACTTGAAAATTGAATGTTTTTTGGGCTGTAATAAGTGCCTCTCATGCAGACAGTTGATGCACCCTGGACTGGTATTATTTTCCTTAGCGAGGACATTACATATCCCCAGAATACCTGTGAAGAAAATCACTGTACTGGTGAGCCCCTTCGAGACGACAAGTTAACAAGTTTTCCTTTCTTGACAAGGTTAAAAAAGAATTGTCAAGTTTCCCTATTTGCACAACAAAGAAAAAAACAAATTCTTTTTTTGTTCTTTTTTTTGCTTGGAATTTCTTCTTGCTATTTTTTTTTTTTAATGAAAACGAGCGATTTCCTTGGACGGAATTAGAAACTTAAAGAAAAGCAGAAGAATAATCTGCGGCTTAGAGAAACTTGTGGGCGAGGAGGCATAAAGTCATCTTATGAAGATTACTACCAGTCCTCGAGCATCATATTTTTATAACTGCATTTTACAACGAAGATCTTCGCCTGAAAAATTCATAGCGATTTCTTGGCCATAGTGTAACTGTTCAGACTAGTACTGGGAAGACGATACGTTCCGTTTTAAGACATGTATGGTCAAATCTTCATGCCTTTCATCTTTGACTTTGCAATAATTTATTACCCCTAGACCCGTAGGACGAAAAGTCGCATATTTTTCAGCTTAATTGGATTGAGAGGATTAGATAAATCATACCTTTTAACCTACAGTGTCGATGTTATAAAATATTCTTTTTGGTCGTCGTAATCTAACCAGATCTCATTTACTGGCATTTTGGCGAGTTATTTTATTTTATTTTTGGAATATTTTACACACAGGTTATCGTAAGATGTAAAAGCAAAATACACCAAGACCGCAAACATTTCGTTGACTGACGCTCAATGAGGAGATTTAAATGTATTTAATCTGCGATTCCTGTGGGTAAATAACCCCGAAAAAGCTTGTGGAATGGAATTAAAAAATAAATAAAATTTGCAATGATTTTTAATTTTCTACCAGACATGCATACAAAGCAAGTTTTATTGTTTCGGAATAGTGTTAAAATGAGTTTATGTTGTTTTGATACCGTTTCAAATGAAAAACAGTATTTGCAGCCAGTGAAACCATTTACATTTAAATTGAGATAAATTGACGTCAAACCATTGAAATTCGAGGAAAATATCATTAAAATGAATAATTTTTTTACGAAAAAAAGGTTAAATAACGAGATTAAAATTTACTTAGAATTAAGCTATTTGCTCGCTTGAAGACCTACATAGAATTGAACTGCTGCTAAATATTTGTTAGCAAACACACCAACGTCGGATATCTCAAGGAAGATAAATAGTATTTATANCATTTTGGCGAGTTATTTTATTTTATTTTTGGAATATTTTACACACAGGTTATCGTAAGATGTAAAAGCAAAATACACCAAGACCGCAAACATTTCGTTGACTGCCGCTCAACGAGGAGATTTAAATGTATTTAATTTGCGATTCCTGTGGGTAAATAACCCCGAAAAAGCTTGTGGAATGGAATAAAAAATAAATAAAATTTGCAATGATTTTTAATTTTCTACCAGACATGCATACAAAGCAAGTTTTATTGTTTCGGAATAGTGTTAAAATGAGTTTATTTTGTTTTGATACCGTTTCAAATGAAAAACAGTCTTTGTAGCTAGTGAAACCATTTGCATTTAAATTGAGATAAATTGACGTCAAACCATAGAAATTCGAGGAAAATATCATTAAAATGGATAAATTTTTTACGAAAAAAAGGTTAAGTAACGAGATTAAAATTTACTTAGAATTAAGCTATTTGCTCGCTTGAAGACCTACATAGAATTGAACTGCTGCTAAATATTTGTTAGCAAACACACCAACGTCGGATATCTCAAGGAAGATAAATAGTATTTATAGCACTCTGCCACTCCTCATACTTAAAGGATATAAAACACCAAGTAGTCTCAGTATTCATTGACGGCTATGGAATATTTAATCACACAATATTAACACCGGGGGTGCCCGGGTTGAAAATTGTGTGCTTTCATAACGGAACGGAAGTATTTTCGCCTTAAAAAGTTTCCGCTTAAAACCCTAATATGAGATAGATAAATCATCGTCAATGTTTTCATGGGTGAAATGTTTGATATCGACAGGCCTTCGAGTAGTTAGGGAATATGGTTCCAAGACCGGTTCATATCAACACGCACCTTTAACAGACGAACTAATAGCAAAATATTTTACTTTCTGGAAAGTCAACATTTAAATAACCAGGAAAAGTACTTACGCTTCTCCGTCCACGTGCGTGCGATCCATAAGAAGGCCAGTACAAGTGTAATCAGAGGCCGTAACCTTATCATCATCCTCAGAAATAGTGTCCTAGAAATCAGAAGCGGTGAATTTAATGGCGAAAAAAAACCATCTGTTTCGGTTATCTTAGCAATAAAATGAATATTTATGTACAAATTTTATCACAGAGGAGCGAAGGAGGCGGATTTAAATAGGTTAATATTCGGTAGCAGCAGAGTTGAAAAATACTTTTAAGTATTTGTCTGTAACGACCTTTCACTCCCACGGCCTAACAGCCCATCTCTAAAATGATTTTCTTTACCCCCTGCTGTATGTTGACAGATCAAAGGACTTATCTCTTTTTTGAATTGAAGTTTAATTAACCTTTTTACGGCACAAAAGAATCGTATGTGAGTAGCATAAATGCCGTGGAATTCCCCTGGAGTATTTTTCTCTTTGTCAAATCAAGTCACTTTCCTGACTGAAATTTGGCGTCGAGAGTGGCTGTTTCATGCTGGTGATAGACTTCCATTAAAAATATTGGCCCGATAAACGAAAATTTTGTTTCTATAAAAAACCTAAATGGATATTATTTCGATAACAGTGGTATGAATCATACTGTGGTTTATTGAACTCGATTGATGTCTATCAAATTAAACCGCCGCTTTGAATTGAGCACAAATGCCGGCCAACAGGGATAAAAAGGTTAAAGAATGCATTAACGAAAATTTACTTTGCCCGCCATCTTAGGGTCATTTGCATAAACAATTAGAAAGGAAAAAATATATTTCACACAAATTTCAGTTACGAGGAAAAAACTTATAAATTTGTTTTGTTATACTTTTTTTGTAGTATATTAAATGTGGTTCAGGTGATTGTTTTAACGAAAAGAAAGTCGTGGTTAAATCGTAGAAAACGAATGTATTTTACACAAGGAGGAATTTGTGATAGTTAGGAAGTGAAAAACGATATTAAGTAAGGTGGTACCTCTTGGGAGAAAATTCCTTTTTCTTAATCTCTCTTCCGGTACTTCCAATTTTTTAACTTTATTTTGATCCTTGAAATTTGTAGACAGGATGTGAACCGTTTTTATACCATAAGAAAATACGAAGAACACGTCCTCACAACAATATATCCGGGATTTCCAAACAGGTAACATGAACTTTTGAACAGGTGACCGCGTCAAATTCACGACGCCATTTAAAAAATTCTGCGTAGAAAATACCACGTTTGACTGTTTAATGAAAACCCGTCAGCAAACTTTTATTAATACTGATTTTTATTACGTATTTTGGGGTTGTTTTACATTTTACGTTAAAACAATATTTTAATTAATCCGGTACGTATTCGAACACCTTTGAGCCTTTAAAAGATGTTTTTAGACCTCAGAAAACCCGGTGAGAGAGAGAGTAGGAAGAAGCTAAGGTAAAAGGCACTGAGACCCTAATTCTGCCATTCTACCATGATATATAACTTTCTAAAACTATAATACCTTAAAGTTTTTGTTGTGTTACCTTATATACCTTACCAGACAAGAATGTATCAACGATTTCACAGTCTTACTTCTAACCTTTGTATTGTACCGAGCAAAAAATTGGTGAAACAATAAAACAATAAATGTAATGAGAAAATTTTATACAGTAGAAACACCAGCCAAATAAAGTTGTGGTCAGTGATAGTTCTGTGAAAGCATTTCAACACCGTGGTTGAATGGGCAATTATTTTTGATAAATAATTGCCAGGAAATCGTTAATGATTAAAGCAGGTTTTTGAAACAGTGATAACAGGGTCGTAACATGGTATATGGGCTCAGGGCTCAAAGCCCAAAATATGACTGGGATCAGGGCTCAGAGGAAAGGGCTCAGGGCTCAAAAGAATGGGATCAGGGATCACAAGGCTTTTTAGCCCGAATTAGGGATCAGATTTATTACACCGTCTAAACATCTCTTATCACAATATTTTTTCGCATAATAAGGTTTGTGTCCATAGAATTTCCTGGCCGAGGTACATTACCTATTCTTGCTTCCGGCTGGCGGCAGTTCCTGTCATACGAAGTCCTGGTTGTTCGACGAAAACATGGTATCATATTCTTAATTTATTTAATTG